TGCTGCTCACAGCGCAGAGACAGCCCTGGTCAAAGTGACAAATGAGATTCTATCCACCTGCGACCAGGGCTCTCTCTGTCACCCCGTCTTTCTCTGTCACCTTGTCTTTCTCAACTGCTTTTGATACTGTTGACCACCTTCTTCTCCACTGTCTCTCCTGTCATCTCCACCTCAATGGTTCTGCTCTTGTCTGGTTCCATTCCTACCTTTCCCACCGTCTGCACTTCATGGCCACCCATGGCTTCTCCTCCAGCCCCCACATTGTCATCTATGGTGGCCATCACGGCGCTGTCCTCGGTCCCCTTCTCTTCAATCTATACATGCTCCCCCTCGGCGATGTCATCCGCAGCCATGGGGTCAATTTCCACATGTATGCGGATGACACCAACTCTATCTCTCCGCCTCCACCCTCGACTTTAGGACCATTGATATCCTGGCTAATTGTCTGTCTGACATCAAATCCTGGACGAGAGCCAACTTCCTCCAGCTCAATGTTAGCAAGACAAAGGCCCTCCTGCTTGACTCCCAGCAGCATCTCCTCAACAACAACAACAACATTCCATTTATTGAGCGCCTTTCACGTCAGGAGGACGTAGGTTGGCAGTAAAATGTACCTCAATAGCACCAATCAACGGCCCGGAACTTCCTCAAATTTCCCCGCAATTTGGGGCAAATATTTCCGCACTTTTCTATTGACCCAGCTCACAAGTAGTCTTTTTTAAATTGAGAAAACCAATTAAAGAGCCAATGGACTGTAGGACTACATTGGAAACAATCAGCGTTGGAGAGAAAATAAGCTACATTGATTAGTTGGTCTTGGATGTTGATCAGAAAGCATCCAAGTCTAACAGAACACAAATTTTGCCTATGAAACAGCTCGTTGACAGGTCAATTGTTCCCAGATAATAGTTAAGACAATTAAGACCTCTGGGAAGGTGAAATTACACAAAAAATACATACGCTAAGACAGAGATTTTAAAACCTAATAAAGGCATTTGTTAAAAAAAGTTATTTTCCACCCACTCTCTGCAACCTAACTATCATATGTTCAAACCTACTTGTAAAGAGGAGGTTAGAATTTATTCCACAGAAGATTTGTTAGAATGTGGAAAAGCCTTACCACAAACTGTTTCTGCAACTGAATTCGTATAACATTTAAAAGGGACTTTGGATATGATATATGATATAATGGATATGGGGAAAAGAACAAGGAACAGGATTGGAACTTGATGGGGCTACTTGCTGTGTTGCAAAAAATAGTTAAACAGAAACAAATGCAATTCTCAGATACTCGGGTAATTTAAGTGGATACACTTTGAGCTCATATAGTCTACCTACCTTTCCATGGCAAAGCTACGGTTAAGTGCTGTTTCCAGGCTTTCCATTTTTACCAAGAAACCATTTTTATCAAGAATTAGAAAGCCTGGAAACTGCATTGTTGGAGGTGTCATTCTTTGGACGAGATATTAAATTGAGGCCCTGTCTGCATGTGAAAGTGAAAGTGAAAGATTCCATAGCGCTATCTGAAAAGAGAAGGGAGTTTCACCCGATAGAATAGTTAATTAAATAATCTAGTTAAAGGCTAAAACGATAATTGTATTTGTGTTCAACAATTTATTCATTTATCTTTTTTTAAAAAAAAGACCGACTTTCAATTCTGCTTTTAAGCTAGTTCATTCCCTCAGTTTTCTTCTATACCATACATCAGGATGGTGCAACTTTTGGGCTGCCGAAGGCCAGATTTTAATAATAATACTTGCATTTGATATAGTGCCTTATCACATCTTCGAGATGTCTCAAAGCGCTTCAGAGTATACTGTAAAGTGAATTGACTGTATATATTGTAGTCAGAGAAGCTTGTCAGTGAAGTGGAGAAATGTTTAAACTGTCCTGTTGCAACTAACAGTAATATCAGGAATTCTTTTACACAAAACTTTGATGAACTCAAAGAGAATCCATCTCAGGTTTCTCATTAAGTGGAACCGAGGATTTATAAAAACAATACGTAAGTATTATATTTTAATATTTGCTGCATTTAGTACTTATTACATTAATGTATATTATTGTAGGTAAGAAATATTTAGTAAGCCACATTTTTTGCGCCAAAGCTATTTACTGGGTCGCAACAGGCCATCAAGGTTTACAAATGGATCGTGTGGTCAAAAAAGTTGAGGACCTCTATACTGTGGTATTACATTGTACCAACAGCTCACTACAAAATACTTTTATTCTTCATATTGCCCACCATGGGCCAGGCCACTTCACAGCTTACAAGATATATTTAAATTAGTAAAATAATTTTATGCACAACATGTAGAATTACAAAAAGCAAAGATTGAGCAACGTACGTTCTTAAATCTCTATATTGACACTCTTTCAGCATTCAAAAAAGAATTGAATGAGAAAGGGCCACTTGAACTATCAACGCTGCTCCTTCCAGACCACACAAACCATCATGAAAACAGTATTGAAAAACTTTGAACCTCTCTGTATTAAGTATCTTCCAAATTGGTCACTCTAAAGATATTTTTTGAAGGAGTTCATCAATGTAATGGGTGTTATGTTGCAACTCTTTTCCATATTACAAGCAAGAGTTTTGCACATTTTTTTTCCTTCCTTGGATGTATGGCAACACAGCATTCCCTGACAGAACCCAGGCAGGTGAACTTTTGTGTAAAAGAATTCCTAATATTACTGCTACTTGCAACAGGACAGTTTGCCAAGGCCTACTCTAACAACTGTAGTGCAGAGTGATCCCTCTCGATCGGGTCTGACAATTTCTTATGGTGACATAACTAAGATCAAGTGCTTACCTTTAAAGGAACTTCAAAAGTTCATATCACATTAAGAGTGGCAAATTACTGCATTATTGTCCTTCGCTTCTGATTCATATAATTTTGCTCATTAATTTCCAGAACTAAATGCAACGGTACACTAAGCACAAACACATTTAACAAACCTAAAACGTAAATCGGTATAATCACTGGAAAATAAATATGTATTTCAGCATAATCTTAGAATGTACTAAGAAGGATTATTACAAATCACAATCCTGTACAGCTTTTAAAAACAATTATTCATCTCCAAATACCGGGAGCATTGGAACATCTTTAATCATACATGATCATCCAAATCTTAGAGAAATATTCTTTTTCGATGTTCTTTTTCTAGATATGATTAAAATTGATGAATGACTTGCAACTAGTAATTACATGCCTTCTGCTGATTTATCAGCAAGAACATTGGGGTGAATCACTGAAAGCTTTATTTGAATTAGGAACATACTGCCACTGTCAATCCAAAGCTATTTGCCACATGTTTGTCATGAGGATTACTATACTGGGTAAATTCTCCTCAATCTGTGCTACTATTTTCAAGATAGGGAAGCAACAGACGCTCAATTGTGATTTTCAAAAGACAATAAAAGGAAATGAAAGCCTTCTTTTAGGCTCATTTCCTGTAGGAACAAACAGATTAGAAAACAACTAAGACTGGACAAAAATGTATTATTAAACCTGCTGTTAACTTTCAACAACATATTTCATCCAAAAGCTAGATCTACATTTTAGCAAGAAAAATGTATTGTAATGAACTGAAATACGTTAATCAAAAGATCAAACAAGTAGGGTCTAACATATTCAATCTTATGGACAGAGATAACAGTTAGATTTCAGTTAGTCAACAAAGAAACAATAAGCCAAACATCATGAAAGCTTCCGAATCACTATATAATACTGTCCAGTTCAAGAACTGTTCTGTGTAAGATTTAAGCACATCACAAAAAAAAATTCAGGTCAGCTGGCATACCAACACACAAAAAAAACTCTAACAGTCTTGTATGCCTTACATCTATATATTCTTCTAAATATGGAATCTGGCAAAATGAAAGATCCCGACCAGAGGTATCTAAATTAATAGATAATATATTTGAGAAACATCAATGGAAATTTAAACAGATTTTGGAGTAAGAAGGAAAAAGACCCAATACTCCAGGAAGAGGAATGTGTTAAAACTCAAATTTGCAGGACAGCACTTAGTGTAATGCAGGGATGGCCAACTTGCGGCCCACGGGCCATATATAAAATAGTCATGTAGGTTGTAAGTTCGCCATCCCTGGTGTAGTGTATACCATTACAGCTTACGGACCAGAAAATCACTGGTTTGAATTCCAGTTGGTGTTGAGTGTGCTGGTCTCAGCCAGGGTTGTAAGGGACGCCAACTTGGCTCTGACCTTGTTGGGGTTAGGGAAGCAGAAATTAGCTCAGGTTTCTGCTTCTGGTCCCTCAAGAACATCCTCTACATGTTGTGCTATGGGTGGCACCCAGGTGGAGAAAGGTCAGACTCCGCTCTGAAGCCTTCCACAATTGAATTAGCCGGCCAACACACACTGCCAAGGCACACACATCAACAAAGGTCATTTATACAGGGTATCCAAAGGGCAACCAGAGTCTATGGAACTGCATCCCGGAAAGATGCCAAACTAGGAACAGACAATGTCGAGCAAAGTTAGAAAACATTTGGATGCACTTTTTTTTCTTAATTGCACTCCTAAGTTATTTTAATTCAGAAATAAAATCAGTGGTATCCATATCCTGATTCCCATTAACCCTGTAAAACAGGATTAAAGCAGAATGTCATTTGGCTCCCTATGATTCATACAAAAGGTTAAGTTGACTTTGTCTGAACACAACTGGAAATCAAGTGACGGGTATGAGCTATGAGCAACAATTAGACAAGCTAGGGCACTTCAGTCTCAACAGAAGACAACTCAGAGGAGACTTTAGAGAGGTTTATAACATTTTAAATGAGATGGAAGAAACAAACAATACATTTGGATGTATCAAGATAGTAAAGGAAGAGGAAGTGTGTTTAGAGTTGCAAAGGGTAATGTCAGGACAGATAATAGGAAGTTCTCTTTACCCAGAAGCTAATTAATGAGAAACAGGTCGCCAGGATACTTTTTCTTCTCTATATTCTGCTATATTTGCAAATAGACTAACCTGCTTCAGAAACAAATGGAACACAACCAAACAAGTCTTCTTTAATTGGCAGCTGTTGAACAGGATGTGGTTCACTCTGGCTCTCTATGGATGTTCTCCTCTGCTCTGGTTTACCTTTAAAAAAATGTAGCAAAACTTTGTTTCCAGTGCCAGAAAAAATCCCTGATAATGTAAGCCAGGGTGGTCCAAACGTTTGGCTGACGTGGGACGGATTCCCTATATGAGAAAGGCCAGCAGGCCACATAAGCAATATTTTATGGTTGCTGATTTATCCAAGGTTTAAATCAAGTATGCTATTTCTTTCAGCCTCAAAACTGAACATTGTGGGTTCCCAGAAGCTGGCAATAAGGCTACACAAAGAAAACATTGACTGTCCTCCCATTCCTAATTACATTTGAGAAGATTTAATTTCTCAATTGTAACACAGATTAAAAATTCCCTGGTAACATTCGTCTTTGATCAATTAGCATAAACATCATATTTTCCTCATGCTTATTAATCCAACAAAGTTGGGTGTACATGGATTTGTCAAAATCCAGATCAAAATAAAATACATTTGAGATTTGGAGATGTATTTTTTTCCCCTATTTTAATCGTTCAGTAAAAATTGTGTCTCTTCTGAAATAAATTTTTAAAATACTAAAATACTATATCTTTTGTTAAACAATATTTGGACAGAAAGTACATTTTCTAAAGTTTTACACTACCATTCTTACCTGCTCTGAGCTGGTCAAACTCCCTATCAAGTAGTTCCTCCTTGGTTAGCTTTGAAAAGTTGTCCTCTCCAAATGGATTCCATCCAGACATATCAGGAGGGTTACTCATATTCTGTGGAGAGTAGCTGGGGACTGCATCCAATTCCAAAGAAGCAGGCCTACAAAGCAAATAATATGCTAGCTCACACTGAGTAGGTTCACATCCGAAAAAGTAATAAGAGTGGTGAAACTAGAAGTCAATCACAGGAAAGTTGTGGGAGGAGGAGCAGGCTAGTCTGATTAGATATTTGCTGTTTCAGACTTTCTCAGAGTTGCACAGAATAGCATAACTGGATGTACTTTTGGACAATGATAGCGACTGCTAGAAAATGTTCTTAAACTCTTATTACGCATATGGTTTCAAGTTAGGTAGTTGATTTGAAAGGCTAATAATGTTACAGAGCAGTCAAAGTTGTGACGTACAGATACATAAATGCAGTTGTTAATTTAGATTTTTTCAATTTAGCTAATTAAGACTAGTAACTAATTCCAAAACATCTATTTAGACCACTGCTCAACTCGTTATTCCACTTCTTTCAAAGGTGAGTCCAAAGAATAACAGTACTGACCTGACTGAGTTAATCGCAGAGTCCACAGTCACTGTTCTGCTGTGTTGCATTGGATGGGTGCCAGTGACTACAAAAGCCATACCATAAGAGAGGTCACCCTGTATCCTGGGATGGCCAGAAGCTTGTGGGGATGTCGGAGAGGTTGGGGGAACAAACGCCATTAATGTGGGTTGACATTCGTGTGGGGAGGGTTGAAAATGCGGATGGTGTTGTATGGCACCCTGAGACAGTGGAAAGGCCTGTTGGTATTGCTGCATCTGCTGAATATTTAAATAGAAGCATGAATTAACCACTTACCAATTAATCATTTTGATTTTAATACAAACAATATGCACAATTTAATTTAAAATAAATCAAATCAACACACATGACTCAATTCAGTTACCACAGGGGTATTATCTACAAGGTTACAATTCCAAAAGGAAAATATTCACCGAGTGTACCAAATACTTTGAACTCTGGATAACTCATCAAACCAAGGTAAAAAAAGGCCCAATGACGAATTATCCGATGTGACTAGTTAGCCACCAGTCCGTACTTTATGCTTCCAATCCGCTCAGCGCCACTCTCTCTGCTCTCTCAGTCTGCACCCGCTCACAGCAGACGTCACATCTGAGAATGTACCCCCAACCCCAACCTCTGACGAGCATCTGCACAGGTCACAGGATAGGGCAGGAGACCACTGCACTGCCTTCCAAAGACCAGAGCCTCTGTAATTCATCTGAGCATGCGCACCCAACCTCCACTGAGCACCTATGACTGGGCACGCTTGCTCAGATGTATCACAGAGGACTCTGGTCTATCAAAGGGCCTCGCTGTGGCTTCTCTCCCTTTTCCCTATCCTGTGATAGTCCCTCCAATAGACCAGAGCATGCAAGCCCATCCTTTGCCAAGCGCTCACACCACAGGATAGGATACCTCTGCAATACAAGACACCACATTATAGGACAAGTTATCCGATCAATTTTACACTGCCAGAACTTGCAAGAATTTCTACAACACAAGTTGCTGTTAAGAGGACAAAATTATATTTGTAAATTTGTAAAGCCCCTTTCACGTCGAGAGGACGTCCCAAGGCTCTGGATAGTGGGGGTCGGGGAGGGTGGAGGGCAGGTGGAAGCAGGGAGAACGAAAGCACGGTTGAAGAGGAGGGCCTTGAGATGGGTCTTGAAGGTGGCAAGGGAGGGGGCGAGGCGGAGCGACTGCAAGATGGAGTTCCAGAGGATGGGGTTGGAGTGGTGGAGGGCCCACCTGCCAATAGTGGGGCGAGCAAGGCAGGGGATGTGAAGCAGGTCGGAGCCCCAAGTGGAGGGAGAGAGCAGGGTGGTAGGCTGTTAGGAGTTGCAGAGGGAGGGGGAAGCAAGACCATGGAGGGCTTTGAGGGTGAGGACCAGGATCTTGAACTGTATCCTCTGTGTGATGGAAAGTCAGTGGAGTCGGGCGAGGATGGGGTGATAGGCTCGTGGAGCCTGGTGCGGGAATGACACGGGCTGCAGAGTTCTAGATGATCTGCAGCCTGTGGAGGGAGGAGAGACAAGTAAGGGTTATATGGGACGTGGTCGGGATATTGATGGCATGACAACCTAAGTGACAGTGATGAGTTAAGATAGGATTGAGTTATCCGGAGTTGACTATAATTCCCACCAGAGATTAAAAAGCATTTACACGACCTTGATTGCAGTGGAAACCTGTCGCTGCCAGCAACCCATATTGAAAAGCAGCCAATTCCAATCATAGTCATATTAACTGCTGCTTCAGTAGCAAGTTACCCCATCTCAAGGATGAAAAGACACAGCATCAGAACAGAGAATCCAATGCTATTTACCCATGCGTACAAATATATGTCAAAACAAAAGTTTAACAGGACATAGAATTAAAGCAACCAAAAGGATGATGAAAGGAAATCACATATTAAGTGAAACATTTTGAGGGGTTATGCCACTTTTAATGGATGCGCAAATGGAATACACAGCAAATCCCAAAAGAAACGCAAAGCCCAACAAAAAGGATCATCAATGTCAACTTTTATAAAAGAGAACATTTTAACTTAGGATAAAAGAAACAGTGCACGAATTGGCTGTCTTTTTCATCTTCAACACCTGTCACTACACTTCATAGTAAAATCCTGAAGTGCTTTGAGATGTCTTAACGACATAAGGCGCTGTATCAAATGCATGTATTATTAAATAAAAACTTTACAGCCAATCAAGAATTAGTTTTGATACTGATATGGATTACCAAAACTAATTCACTGTCTGACAAGGGGATAGCATTTAAAAAAAAGCTTGGTTAAAATCTGATGAAGCATTTCAATCTATAGAGAACACATTTTCATGGCAGATGGCATCCTAATTTGCCTCTGCTTCAAGCAAAGTGGTAGATTAAATGAATGCTGCTTAGGGCTCGACAACCACTTTTGATAATTCAACATTCCATCAATTACTAATTATTGAAACAATTATAAAACATTTGAGAAATTGTAGGCACTTTAGTAATGTGTCCTGACCTATGATCCCTCCAATTTTTAAAGGCTGTGTGTGGCACACACATGTGCAGCTTAAAGGAAACAGTGGTCAGTGTTGTTGTATTCACAGTCTAAATGTGTACATATCATGATAAATGAACTATTTATTAATAATAATATTTGCATTTGGTATAGCAGTTTTCACATCCAGAGGATGTCGCAAAGCACTTCACAGAATTTACTGAGAAGTGTAGTATCTGTATTTTGAAGGCGAGCAAAGCAGCCTATTTGTTTACAGCAATGACCACAAACAGCCATGAAGTGAATGGCCAATTTTATTTGGAGGACGGTTGGCCAAGAAACCAGGAGAAATTCCTTTATCTGTTCAAATCGTGTCATGGGATCGAACATCATTCGAACAGACATCTGGGATCTTGATCTGATACTTCATCCGAAGGATGACACATCTGACAATGCAGTACATCCCCAGCATTGCACTCAAGTGCCAATCTCGTCTGAGTTCAAAGTCCCAACGTGTGCTTGAACCCACAACTTTCTGATTCAGAGGCAACAGTGCTACTAACAGAGGCAGAATGACAATGAATTTCTGAATGATGTTCTAGTTTCTTTTCATGCATTAGAGCACTCGCCTCGCAAGTGAGAGACCTGGGTTCCAGTCCCGGCAGGTCAAAACCTTGGGCAAGTTTCCTTATTCCACAGGCCTGATAATAATTCCTCAAGAAAAAAAAACACACACACTAACAAATTGGTCACTTCAATCCACAACTGTTTGTGGGACACTGCTGTGTGCAAATGGCTGCTGCGTTTCACACACAAATATACAGTCAATTCACTTTACAGTACATTCTGTGAAGCACTTTGAGACATCTAGAAGACGTGAAAAGCTCTATATCAAATTCAAGGATTATTATTATTATACATCAACAGTAAACATAATAATTTTGACAGACAAGTGAACTAACCCAATCTAGTATTAGGCTATTAATTTTTTTTCACTCCTTGAAAACAAAACATTTATAGAATCACAGTTAAGCTTACCAAAGCAGAGTACTGAGGAGACTGTTGTTGATAGTACATTGGCTGCATCATTAACTGTTGCTGCAGGATTTGTTGCTGCTGTTGCAGATGTATTGATGGTTGCAAAGCCTGTTGATACTGAATCAGAGACGGCAACATAAAGCCAGACGTGAAAAAAACAAGTATGGAAGCAAAGTAATATACCCTGACCAATAGACCAGGCTTTTGTGTTTATTGCAGTCACTATAGCTGCATGGATAAAGCAGTCTGCAGCAGAAGGCAAGGATGGTTTCCAGATATTGTAGAATTTTAAGGGACTTTTACCATTACCTGAATTTGCAATGGCTTCTGACAAGTGGGGCCACTCAACAAGCAGAGACCAATCCTTTTAGGGGAAGGGCTCACTGACTCCCAATTACCCACGGGGACATTGCCAGTCCAGCAAAATCATCCAGGTGCTGCATGTCATTAATGCTTGCAAAAGAATATCAGATGCTAACATATTTTACATAATGACATGTTGCACTTTAAGCCATATACAAAATATGTTTGAATTCTCTCATTGACGACAGGTTTACAATTTGGAAATACCACAGCACATCCTTCTATATTAACGAAGACTGCCATTTGCTAATCATCAATGTTCAGGTATTTATTTATTTTAAAAAACCCTTGATCAAATACCTGTTGAGCCTGACTTTGCAATATTTGTTGTTGAAGCTGATGCTGCTTTAACTGTTGCAGTTGATGAAGCTTCAAGTCTCCCTGTTGCATCTGCTGCAGGACTTGATGCTGTTGCTGAATGGTCCCCTGAGTCGTGTGAATTAAATGTCCATTTCCAGCTTGTGCAATCGCTGCAAGATATTTACCCCAAATTAGCTCTAAACTAGCAAAAACACAATGGAACTACTTTTAAGCTGTGAAGAATCAAAAATTGACAATTCTGCCATAAAATTGCAACTTCTCCCATAAAGGGCACAAATAATAAATCCACACCATCACTTTCTCAACTCAGTAAATTACCTTTTTGCCCCTGATTGGAACATCCACTGGAGACTACCCTCTTCACTGGAGTTGACGAGTTCTGAATCGGTAACACATTTGTGTTGGGAGTACATGTCGTTGCTTTTGGCCTTTGCCGTGGTGCTATTGATGTCTCTGTTGGTCCTACAGCATCACTTAACCTGTTAAAGAAAAGTAAACTAAATCAGAGAATTTATTATTAATCAAAAACTGTCAACGTTAGTAAAATTTTTCGGCTTTGCAATTGATTATATTTTCTCTACTTTAGAAATTAAATAAATATGATTCATGTGATCAAAATTATTACCAAATCACACACTAATAAGAATCCTATTTAAACTATTCTTCAAAAAGCCACTGATAATTTTCAAATGGAAGACAGCAACACCAAAACTATATTTGTATGGCGCGTTTCAAGTCGGGAGGACGTCCCAAGGCGCTGGACAGTCAGAGATTTGGACCCGAGCTGGGGGTCGGGATCGGGGAGAGTCGAGGGCAGGAGGGAAGCAGGGTGATCGAAAGCACGGTCAAAGATGAAGTTCTTGAAATGGGTGTTAAAGGAGGCAAGGGAGGGGGCGAGATGGAGGGACTGCGGGATGGAGTTCTAGAGAGTGGGGGCAGAGTGGCAAAAGGCACGCCCATAGTGGGGTGAGTGAGGCGAGGGCGTGAAGCAGGCCACAGCCCACTGAGCAGAAGGAGCGAGCAGGATGGTAGGTGGTTAGGAGGTCGCAGAGGTAGGGGGGAGCAAGACCATGGAGAGTTTTGAAGGTGAGTACCAGAATCTTGAACTGTATCCTCTGAGCAATGGGAAGCCAGTGGAGTCAGGCGAGGATGGGGGTGATAGGGTCACAGGGCTGGTGCGGGAGAGGACACGGGCTGCAGAGTTCTGGATGATCTGCAGCCTATGCAGGGAAGAGTTGGGGAGGCCGACAAGCAAGGAGTTTGCATAGTCAAGTCTTGATGTAATGAAAGCGTGTGTATGAGGGTTTTGGTGGCCTGTGGAGTGAGACAGTGGCGGAACCGGTGATGTTGCAGAGGTGGGCTAAAGCAGAGCAGGTCATGGCACAGATGTGAGGTAGAAAGGATAGTTGAGGGTCAAACAAGATGCCAAGGTTCCAGACTGGCTTAGTAAGACACAACTCTACTCTCAACTAAGGTAGTATGTCATTTATAGCAAGCTTTACACATTCACAGCTGTACCACAGGACACAATGCACTATTGTACAGAAATACAGCTTTGAAATGCTACTTTGGGAAATCAGAACAAAAATGAGCATTCAATCATTTTAAAACATTATCTTTTTTATATATAGAATTACATGGAATGAAACTACATGGAAAAAGCTACATTCAACCCAACTACACATAAAACTATTCGGTATTCAATGAGAGCATTAACCAGAGTTTTATTTTGATAACATATTTGAAGATAATTACACTACTTAGCCCTTATTATAAAAAATACATGGTCAGTCCGGCTCAATTGAAGCATTCTCACCTCTGAGTCACGAAGTTTTGGGTTTAAGCATCTAGACTTGGGCCTAATAGTCTGGACTGACACAAACTCAGTAGCAAAGGAGTGTCAAATGAGATGTTAAACAGAGGTCTCATCGTCATGTTCAATTAGACATTAGAGATTCCATGGGGCTATTCAAAAAGAAAAGCAAGTATCTTCCTGGCACCCTGGCCAGACAAAAAGTTGTTCATTCACTTCATGGCTCTTCACGATTCATTACTATGTGCAAATTGGTGACCAGGTTCACCTACAAATACAGTACAATTTACTCTAAACTCCATGAAGTACTTTAAAATAATATTCCTTGAATTTGATAGAGCACCTTTCACATCAGGATGATGTCTTAAAGCACTTCAAAGGATTCTCTGCAATGTTAGTGAATGCGTATTTTGTAGACAAACTTGGTAGCCAATTTGTGCAGAGCAATGTCCGTAAAATGACTGATTTCATTAGGGGGATTTTTGGCCAGAACAATGAAAAAAAACTCCTTTATCTTTTCGAAGAATGCCATGGCATCTTTAACATCCGCTTGAACAAGCAGACAGGACCTCATCCAAAGCACATCACCTCTAACAATGCATAACACCCTCAGCACTGGAGTATCAGCCTACACTATGCGAGTTCAAACTCCCAACTTGTGGCTTGAACTCATAACCTCTGACTCAGCGGCAAGAGTGCTTTCAAATGAGCCAGGCTAACACCCTTTGAGAAATCGACATCGACACTTTTTCCAATGTAAGTATTATTATATTTGCAGCAGTCTACAGTGTTTTCAAATAGTTTGATTCATAAATATGAAAACATTCTTTTGATTTGGTTTCATCAGCAAAGTGGTGTGAATTGCTTCCTTATCCACAGCATCTTTTGGTTGGAGACTAAACATCTGCCACTTGTACACTGAATTTATCTGCAGAGGCACACCCTTAATGAAATATTCTTTTAATACACTTACCAAAAATGTTCAGAACGTAAAACTTGGGGAGGAAAAATGGACAAACAATATATTTGTATGCACAGAAGAAGGTTCAAAGATCACTTATCGCACTTTCTTTATTCAGGTCTTTTGTTTTTAAGGTTTGATCTTTCCTTTGGCTCCAATGGAAAGAATTTCATACCTCTAAATTTTCAAAATCAGGCCTTACAACATTTCAAACCATTTCTCTTTAATTATATATTATTGTTCGTAAATGTTATTCAAAGTATTCGGTTTCTACTTCAAAAAAAATACTTGGTAAAATTCAGTGGATAACATTTGATATCTGAAGAAGTGTACACACAGTGGAAGCCGGTTAAGCCGGACACATCAGGGCCGGCCTTTTTTGTTTGGTTTAAGCGGGGTCTGGGGTTACCCAAAGTTCCATTACTTCTTCCCACTCAGCAGAGGAGCAGAGCATTGCTTTCTCCCTCCCAATGTCGGTCCCATCGGACAGGAAGGGGACTAATTAGCGGCGAATCCGAGGTGATTAACAGCCCTGGAGCTGCTCATGAATGCTCCAGCCAATCACAAGTGGCTCCAGCTGTCAATCAATCATAATTTGACCCCACCCATTCCCTCCCTTGTTTCTTCCCCATTCCTCTGCCCCCAAGACCCTCCCCTCACTGATTGACAGTCCAAAGCTGCTTGTGAATGGCTGGAGTCCCCTGTCAATCAATGGCAACTTGACTCCTATCCGGCTTCTGGCTGAATGGAGCCGCTCAAGACACAGAAAGCTCGAGTGAGTACATTCCGTGGCAACCATTGGCATTTTGTACGAATTAATCAAGTAAGAAAACAAATGAATTGGGGCCGGGCGTTTTGTCCAATTTATCCAGCGCCTGAGGTTAACCGGGGTCCATTAAAGCGGCTTCCATTGCATTAACAATCCCGATTCACAGATCCAATGTAAATTACTTAAATTTACATACAACACCAAGTTTTTTTTTGGGGGGGGGCCAAGATGTGGAATAGGAGGAAGCAGTAAAGGTCTTACAAACAGGGTGTGATGGGGTATATACATGAGCTGTTAACTAGCAAATTAAGTGTAATACAGATAAATGCAAGGTGCTACATTAAGAAAGTAAATAAACTCATACACTCCACGGACGGGACAGAACTTGCTAAGGTGGAAGCTGAAAGACATCTCGGCGTGTTAGTTGATTCATTGTTCACTATATCAAAACAGTGTGCGGTAACAATAAACAAGACACTAGAACAAGAGTACATAGGGTTTGAGTTGCAATAGGCAATTTCAGGACAAACACCAGGAAGTTTTTCTTTACTCAGGAGGCTAATTAGCGACAGATTGGAACAGATTGCCAGGAACGTTGGTTGAGTCCAGGATACTGGACTTATTTTTTTAAAAAAGTTCAATGCTGTGACAGATAGATGGGAGGGTGGTTATTCTGGAAGGAAGAGATCCAATAGACCGAAGAGGACTGCTCATCAGTGATGGAGTCAGTCCTAGTTAGTGTGGATACTTGTCGCTCTACCGTGTGAAAATGCATTAGTAAAGAAGGTAACTGTCCAGTTTTGCAACACATTCTAATGCAATTGAGCAAATATGTACTTTTCATATTTTTAAAACTAATTATTGAATTTGCATAAGCTTCTATTGGCTAACATTAGATTTTTTTTCCCTAATAAGATTCATATTACCATTCTGACATGCAAACTTAAATTTTAAAGATAATTTGAAGGCTTGCTTTGTGGTTATTCTTTATTTAATTAAAAGACTACACTACGGTTAGATTTGGGTATATGCATAAGGATACAATGACCTAATGTTGCATATAGTCAGACTTACCTGTAACAGAAATACTGTATTATCCATCAAGCAAAATAGATGCACTAGGACACATCCAAAAATTGTCTTTCAATTTTATATGGTAGCATTGACATACTAAATACTACTGATCTACTTTTTAAAACAGATCTTTCCAAGTTCCAGTTGACAAGCCATAATTACCTGGCTTTTGTTTGATTCTTTCTGGCAGCTGCCTCACTGGCAGTCATGGGCTCAGGAAGTACTGATGGGATGGAAACGTTCTGCAAATTAAAAACAAATTATTTTAATGGCTGCAAAATTTTACAAATTATTCCCAAGAACAAAATATCAATGAAGTACATTAATTGATGGAAGCAATATAAAATGTTGAAGATAGATGTTTTCTCTATTTGAATGGAAATACTAATTTTAGCCAAAGCTCAAGATAATAGTCTAAAATATAATAATAATCCTTGCATTTAGTGTAGTGATTTTCACGTCAAGAGGATGTCCCAAAGCGCATCGCAGGATATAAAGTGGAGTGACTGTGTGTTTTAAGCTTGGCAGCCAATTTGCACACAGCTATGTCAAGCACTCTGGGATGCTACCCTGCTTGAGGGGTGCTATATAAATGAAAGTTGTTGTTGTCTCACAAACAGGCATGACCAATTTTATTCAGCCAATTGTTGACCAAGTTCTTGTTGACAAAAATTGTTTTAAAAAAAATTGGTCACTTCAATTCACGACTGTTTGTGGGTCACTGCCGTGTGCAATTGGCTGCCACATTTGGCCCACAAATATAGTCAATTCACTCTACAGTATATTCTGTGAAACGCTTTGAGACGTCTAGAAGACGTCAAAAGCACTATATCAAATGCAAGGAGATTACTATTATATATACAAGTTGGGCAAGTTTCCTTACTCCACACGCATCTGTTTACCTTCATTAAGTAGAAACCAATTGCTGATCAATTGGCGGATCGCTTTCTGGGGTTAATAATCCACTCGAAACATTTTATTAAAAAAAAACTAAAAATTTGGTCACTCAATTCACAACTGTTTATGGGACACTGTTGGCTGTCGTTTCGCCCACAAAAATATACAGTCACTTCACTTTACAGTATATTTTGTCAAGCGATTTGAGATGTCTCGAAGACATAAGACACTATATCAATTGCAAGGATTATTATTATTCAAAATCTACTTCTTCAACTATGCCAATAATAATAAAAATCCTTGCATTTGATATAGCGTCTTATCACGTTTTTGAGACGTCACCTCCCCACCGTCCGACTCATCTTTGTGAAGCACTCCAACATGTAATCTTTCCTACGTGAAGGGTGCTAGAGAAATGGATATTGTTGCAACTAAAGTCAAACTATCCCATTTATAATGGACGATCTCACAAACAAATGTAAAAATATAAAGGTATAAATATAAATATATAAACTTACACATATATTCGGGATGGGGCATTCTTTCCCAGCTAACTTAAAAGCAAAATGTGACATTTGGTAAATGTCAGGCCTTTTGTGTTGATCTGGTTCAAGCATATAACCTTTTAAACACAAGTGAAAAAAACAAATTAACACATATGACTAAATGTGTAATATTTCAATTGTCTACATGCCTATTTTTCACCACTTACGTAAAATGAATTTATGTTGTCAATCAAATTACATGAACTTTTGGGACAGTATACATTGTGATGTACTGATGAAATAATCAAATGAATTCACAAATGCAAGACATTTTTAGTGGGCTATGAACTATATGGAACATATACCTTCAAGCAGAATACATCTAATTTCTCTAAGCAACCCTCAGACCTAAACATTCAGCAGTATTTCAGTCCTCAAGTTTTCTTTTTGAATTATTTTAATAGAAAGAGTCAAATTAAAACTATTTGGCTCGTACCTCACCTAATATATTGTACACAATTAGAAACTAATCTCAAATATTTCAACTGATAGAGGTGCTTAATGTAGCTTAATTAGAACTCTATATGCATGTGTTATATGTTAAGAGTTTAACACGCAATGTGAATTTTTCTTGGCATATAGGAAGATTGGTCACTTTTATGAGTTTAACCAAGATAGTCCTGGTAGAAGAGCTAACTCCAATTCAGCAAAATATGAGCCAATGCCATAAGACAAATTAATAAATACCAGGAAAATTGCAATTACAATACAGCATAAACTAACACTAAACATTTCAATATATACACAAAGAGGTTGAATTGGAGACTGACTATATTTTAAATAGTCTACCCTGTTTACAGCAACCACTCAGGGGACTGGACCAAAATGGTCTTCGTGCAAGGGTGGCCCCTGAGTAAGGGTTTATTGCCTGGGCCTGAAATTTTAAAAATCCACAAGGCCCACAAGTAGACGCCCGCTAGACCTTTAGCAACACCCCCTCACCAGTGAGGCAGGCAGCTATGGGCATCACTTGGGCTGCTCAGTGTGGCATTGGTAAATGTGCCAGGAGCCTAGCGGGAGTCTAAATATGGGCCTGCAGAAATTGGTAATTTAATGCATTACCAGTAAATATACTTAAATTCACTTTGAACCGATTATTTTAACAAGTTTGACTGTATACAAAGTTAATAGTACATACGTATTAAACAGTGCAGTGTGTGAGAATATTTAGAAGTGTCTGGCACAGTAAAGCTTCCATCACAGATTGCAACTTGACTTTCTCCAAAGGGAAGAGTGAAGAAACAAAGTTTGTACAGCAAACATCCAAGTGCCTAAAATACAAAACAAAAAACTAAATTTAACATTTTGGATCACAAAACCTAGTTATTTTTAAAAACAAAGAATATCACATAGCTGCTGAAGATTCAATGAAACAAAGCCACATAACCAAATACATTTGAGACCTGTATATTATTTCCTCCAATTACATTATTTCACAGCCTATTAATCAGGTGATACTAAGCCCAGAATGCACAATTTACGTTTGGGGAATGGAGGATAGAACAACAACATTGTTAATTAGATCTTTAAATTTATTAAAATGCTTAATCCTCTGGTTTCTACAGAATCTCTGTAAAGATTCAATTGTTCCTATTTCTGTGCAAGTGAGATTGTACATTGTGGTTCTGAAGTGGAAACTGCATGGGTGATGACACTAGCGTAAAATCTAAGAAGCTCTTCCCTGAGGGTGTAGCAAAATTAGGCTACTTACAAGATTACAATGTTAATTGACAGTATATGCAAACCGGGGGTGGAGGGAGGAGCTAAAGCACAAAAATACTCTATAACATTACACCAAATAAAATCTTGAAAATCCCCCAAAAGTTTGAATTGACAGAATTGTTTAATGTCAGGGAGGTGGGGGGGAAAAAGAAACAATGAAACTTAAATACGGGGGTGAGAGAAGGAATGTTTGTATATGGCACAGGAACTGGAATGATCACAGGGGTGATGGTCCGCTCAACATTGTGACAATGACAACGGTTGTGTTTCTTATCCCATCCCAGCAAAATGCACTTACATATCTCACAACTAAATCTGTGTAGAAGTTGCAAATAAGCAAATACTGTTGCTTTACAAACACCTGAGCTATCTATCACATATTGCAGTAAATACTAATTAAGCAGCTCCCATGTAAGTGCTTGAGAAGAAACCAAAATGTCAAAAATATGCATAAATGCAGTTCAACTGAATGGGTGAATAACAGGAAATAGAGCTGATAGTTTGGCACTGGTAAACTTTGTTTACACTAACAAAGCACATCAGTGCCAGCCAGTGGAAAAAAGCTAGTACTGCATATTGCCAGAATTTCTCTTCTGCAGACTTCAAAATATAGTCTTTACAGTGTTAGCAATAACAGGTAGCATTACCCTGAATATTGGCAGTAGTCTGCAGGAATAGAACTATGGGAAAAAAAATATTTAATATGCAACCTATTATGTAAATAGGCTCCATGCAGGACTTCCCTTAGTGTCAGTTGTTAGCACTCAGAAGGTTGGAGTCAGAAGGTTGTAAGTTCAAGCCCCTCAACAGGACTTTAAGCTCACAGTACAGGATAACATTCCAATACAGTTTCTGTGGTGCCATCTTTCAGATGAGACATTAAAACGAGGCTTTATCTGCCTGTTCAGGTGCTTGTAAAAGATCCCATGGCACTATTCGAAAAGAAAAGGGAGTTTCTCCTGAAGTGCTGGTCAACAAATACCAATTAGAGTTATCCTGTCCAAATTACATTCCCAAATGATCAACTTGTGGAAAACACACAAGCCTTCAAGGTTTTGTTTGGAGGCTAAGAAGGTTCACCAAGAGGCTTGCAGACTTCCTAGTACTCGCTCTCCATCTAGTGACGAATCAACCTGCATTTGTTGGATGTCAAATGACCAACTTGTGACTATCATTGGCTGGGCGGATAGATCGTAGACGAGCCAGTATTACTCATTGTAGTAATACATGTAGCCACATGTAACAGTATAATCTTCTATGTACAGAATATATCCATTAATTGTGATTACAAAGTGAACATCAGGTAAGCCAAGGCATGCCATTGGTTTTGTTCAGTTACTGTGCCCACTGCAGATTAAGTTTTGTCCTATTTAACATTTTTCTCCCCCAGAGACATGGGTGATTTTCTTTCTCCAGAGGTGTGGGTTATTTTTGATCTAACTCCAAGTGGACTTTCTTATTATTATTATAGATTTGACTAGTTTATACCACAATTGTATGCAGCTTCACAAATTCTGGGAAATAAATGTACTCAGTGGAGTTATCCCTTCAAAGAAAATTCTATCAAAAAAAATTTGGTCACTCAATCCACAACTATTTGTGGGACACTGCTGTGTGCAAGTAACTGCCGCATTTTGCCTACAAAATATACAGTCAATTCACTTTACAATATATTCTGTGAAGTGCTTTGAGACATCTTGAAAATGTGGTAAGGTGCTATACCAAATGCAAGCATTATTATTAATAAATAAGAGTGGTACAGCATGTCAACGCCCAAGACAGAGGGATAAACAAGGCTCAGAATACAATTACTATTGAAAAAACTGTAGTGAACTCAGTTGCCAGGAGAGGATGCTGTTCTCCACTTTGCCACCTTAGTGGACTATTTCCATCCAACTCATGAATATTAGTGTTCTCGGGATTAAGTACACAACTTTAATGTAGTTGCATTACAACAACAACAAGATTACATTTGTATAGCGCCTTTCACGTCGGGAAGACGTGTAGTTGCACTAATCCAACTTTCAGCATTGAGAAATGAAAATTCTTCATTAAGGCACGCCTCAGTAATTGAAAACCATCTAGTATGGCATGGCAATGCACTTTCGGTCACTTTGACAATGGATTGTAGTTTGTTAGTAACTATACTGAAAAACACTTAAAATAACTAGGTTTCCAATTCCAATTAAACAAGAGCAGTGTTCTCTCACAAAAACAAACTGATTTTTTGTTTACTTTTGTTCACAATGACATCTGCAAGAAGTTACTGTTCAGACAAAGGGAGCTGTAGCCCCTAACATATGCTCTTAATCCAATAAATGCTAATAATTCTGCAGTATTGTACATGTAAGAGCAGCAAACATTACTGGAAGCAAGGTTGTGGCTCCACAATGATTTTCCAAGTTAACTAATATGAACTTTGAAAGGAAATATATCTAGTACGCAGAACATTTCTGCATTTCAAGTTCCCTTACTCTTCTAAACACAGTGCAGAGTAACTATTATAAGAGCTGCAAATGTTATAGAACCAGCCCCCTTTGTCTTTTGCAGAATACAATTTCAAACAATTACAGAACACAACTACTGCTGCAACAAGCCAAATTATACTCATTACAAAATCCACAGCAGATCACAATTAGTGAACCTGCTGAACTGTAAGTATCAGGACCTTCAATCCTTAATGTTTGCAATGGTTTACTTCCTTGTTGCAATTCTGCCATTTTCAAAAGGAACCTTACTGAAGGAAATTGAGGTTTATGTTGCTCAAGTTGCTATTTAATAATGCAAAAAGTGATTTACTGGTAATTACTCTTCGGTTATCCAGCAGTTGTCTAGACAATACCACTTGTGTACAGAAGTGGTGGCCAACCCATGGCTAGATGTTTTAAAAATCAATGTTTTGTTTCCATTTTATCTTGATTTTCTTGGTACAAATCAAGGACTATTCAATCAAAAAAATGTATTTTGTTGGCTGACCAAAATGGTTTGCCACCACTTGTGTACAGTAACATCCAACTTCCATACAGCACAAGTTCAAATAAGTATTTCTTACCCATATATCAGCCTTAGTAGTGATTGAGCTCCCTCCATAAAAATTTATCATTTCAGGGGCTCTATAAGAGAGGGTTGTATACCTGAAACAAAAAAAATGTTTAACTTCTTGCAAAAGTGTTCTGCAATGGTTGTTTACTTTGGTTAATTTGTATGTCAATAATCAATACATGTCCTTCATTTTAAACCCACAATTGGATCATACCCTACTTTATAAACTGGTAGAAACCTGTGTAAAGTAGTTTCCAAGCAGACAGTAGTAAATAATGAAACGATGAACAAGATTGCCCATTGTAAATTGAGGGAAGGGAAAGCGAAAAATCAACATATTTCACACTTGATAAAAGTAAACTCATTACAATTTAATATGATCACCTGCTCCGTTTTAATCACAAAATTAGTTTCCTGCAAAAACATTCACAATATTGGGAGTTCAATGTTTGTTCACATAACATTTTCCAGATTACAACTTCCAAATGATACAAATGTGCTAAGTATCTAAAATCTTAAATCATGTTTGACTTACTTAGATATCAATTTGAAACAAACACAAGCAATAGACCATGTAGTCTGAAAGGTGAAGCAGAATGGGCTGATGGAATTATCTGTGTTAAGCCATTGAGATTCCCCATTTAAAAAAATTATATTTATTCTAAATCTAGTACTTGGCATAGATCTTTGCGCTCTTTTAATACGCCTGTAATATGCATAACAGACAAAAAAAAGTTAAAAATCAAGAAAGACTCAGATAGTTAAGACCAGAAACAAGATAGGAAGATTAAGGGTCAAACAATTAAATGTATAGTTGGACTGTAATATAACACGGTGGTTTAGGTCCATAAAAATCAAACCCCACATTATGAATGGGTCATGCTATAGAGAGGCTGCAAGCTAGCACTTAAAATAATAATCCTTGCATTTGACATAGCGTCTTATCACATCGTTGAGACATTCCAAAGCACTTCACAGAATATACTGTCAAGAGAATTGACTGCATTTTTGTGGACGAAACGCAGCACCTAATTGCGCACAGCAATGTCCCACAAACAGCTGTGGATTCAGTGACCACATTTTTTTTTGAAGGGATTATTACCCCCAGAAGGCGATCCGCCAATTAACTAACAACCAAGTTTCTACTTGCTGCTAGTTACACAGAGGCATGAGGAGTAAGAAAATTTGCTTAAAGTTTCACCCTGCCCAGGAATTGAACCCAGGTCCGCTCGCTTGTGATCCGAGTGCTCTAACCAATATGCTACGGGACTCAATTTCCAGGTCATCAAGTCACTGATAGTCATTGCTGATGTCACCAAACCACATTACATCATTCTCGCAAGTGTTTCCAGCGGTTGCTGGAAGGCCTTCTGTGCCTATGTGCCAGACGTGTTAACACAGAATTTCTGCTCTTCTAGTGCACTCGCAGGAATGTCTGGGAAGCAATCCAAATTTAAATGCTGTAAATTTATTGATGAAAGATTAGGGAGATTTGCTATATTGACTTAGAATCTCTATGCTGAGCTTCCCTCAGTCAATACAAATGAGGGTAAGGTCCATGATGGGGTGCGTTTTGTCTGAACTGTGGAAGGAGTGCACTCGATGGTTCAAATAGCCTTTTCCCGTTCCATTCTTTTTCATGTACTTAAACGGCAAAGTAAAATCTAATGTAATCAGAAAGGTTAAAAAAGCCAAACAGCATGATATTAACAGTACTGAAACAGGTCCCAATGGGAAAAGATCACATAAAGGCCAAGGGTAAAATGGTGGGACTGTGTACAGAAAAACGTGAATGTATGACGGAAATAGGGACTGCTGCAGAAGCTGACAAAGGAGAATGCAGAACGGCAAAGCATTGAGGGGGTCTGTGGCTGACCTGGTTACAAATAATTGAATAATAGTAACACAGAATGCTAAGCCACTCTTCAGACTCGTAAAAATGCTTCTCCAGTCAGTACAGCTTGACAGCATTCAATAAAATGGGACTTACTTTTTGATTTCATCCTCCACAGTACTGACACCATGCATTTGGGGATTGAGAATTTTATGAGTAACGCTTCCAAAGTCACAGAGGACATAGTTCCCATTATTATTTAACAAAATATTTTCAACCTACAAAGAAAACAGTAACAGCCAAGAATAAGTAAAAGTTACTATTACAGAATGACCAAGGTTATTACAATAACTGCAGTCAACATTTAAATTAAACCCAAACGATAGTTCAGCTACTCAATAGGTAGGTATTCTCAAAATACCCAGGTACACTCTCTCTGGAACTTTTCAATTTCTATCCTTTTATGTGGGCTACAGAGTCTTTTGTATTTGAGAGTAAGAATGATTTGTGTTCGTTTGGTAATCCTCACAGGGAGAATTCACCGTTTTTAGGCAATCAAAGAGGAACTTATGCTTTCAAAGCCATTACTATTCTCTTAGCTAGGCTAAGGTCAGCCAAGTGAAAATGAATACTCTTCCTCATCCATTATACCTGTTCCAATTTTCCAGTTTTATATTCCCAGACCCGAGCTGGGGTGACAGGTTACCTACCCATTTTCTGTGAAAACCTCAATGATCCTAAAAAGTAAGGGTCAAGTGCTTGCATGTACATTATAAAGGAGAAGGAAAAGAGAAAAAAATGATCTGCTAAATTGTCCAGGACAAATGCATATTTGAAAGGATATCTGCATATCCTGACAAGCAGAGGGCAATGATGCAGCAGGAGTACTGTCAGTTTCAAATCTTCTCTTCCTTGAACAACCAAGTATATTTATTTGGTTTCCCGCATTTCCTACGTAACAATGATACATCACAAACAATGGGGTTTACGGCTCCTAGGGCTTTTACGAGTATGCATTTGTGCTGGTCAATTTACCAGATGATTTTTCTCTCTTCTCCTCTCCTATGACAAACTAGCTGCAGGCACTTAACCCTTACTTGGGAGGCATTTAAGTTTCCACAGAAAATGGGTAGATAGGATTTGAGGGTGTTGTCACCACCAAAGGAGGACACAGACCCACTATTTTTAAAATCTGCCATAAGTCATCCAGTTTCGACAGTTGGCAATGGAGCTTCAGAATGAAATTGCTCTAATCCTATTATTCTCTTTTCCCTAACTTTTCATATTTGTCCTCAAGTATTTATCCAATTCCTTTTTTGGCAGTGCCTCTTAGCGCAATATTTTCTGCCCAAGAGCTGGTTCAAGTTGCTACATTTTCTACCCATATGTGGAGAGTACTTCTACCTCTCTGAGGAGTGATTTTGTTATTCCATTTTAATTTCCACAACTCGGTTTTAGCACCAGCTCACTCAAGTAAGCATATGGGAACCAACCATCTTTAGTGAGCAATGAGAAGCTGTATGTGATTTGCATCCTGTTCTTAGAACTATGAGAAAACTTCTGAGGGATAACAACATATTTTCAAATGACACATTACATCTCAAGGTTCTACAGGAATATACGCACCAAGATAGCAAAGACTTATCCTTTATCCTCCTGTTTATTTTAATTTTCTGACTTCACTCAACCTCTGCTGCAGGCAGCCACTCGCGAGATGATGCAAGATGCTGCTGACACTCCTTTGGTGCCTCGTCCAAGACAGCATTGTTCATATGCAAGCCTGGGCAGTGTCAATAGACTATTTGATGATTTAGGAGCATGACAGCTGAGGCCAACTTGCGTGATATTCACAACCACCACCAAGGTGACCTGCTATTTTCAAAATCTGCCACAAGGCAACCATATCTGACTGCTGGCAATGGAGCGTTAGACGAAAACTAACCTAATCCAATTCTTTGCTCTTTTCCCTAAACTATTAACATTATTTGTCTTCAAGTCTGCATTGTTCATATGCAAGACTGGGCAGTGTCAATAGACTATTTGATGATTTAGGAGCATCAATGTGAAGATAAGATTTAAAAATCTAATTTTTAAATCTTATCAACTGTGAAATATAAATTAAATTCTCTGAATTAGCAGAATTTGGCATCAAGGGTATCAAAATATATTGCCACTATGCTCTGCATGTTTTTGTTTTGAAAAGCAGTATGGCATTATAATGGTAAAGTCACTCTCAAACAGATGCTGGTAATATAATTTACACCCATTTCCTGTTGCCCCCGCGCCCCCTCTCCCTTCCCCAAAGCACTTCAACCTAACCTGGCGTTGCATGGCTCTTGAACGATCCTGGGTGTGCCCATTCACAACTCGATGGATAATCAGTTTTATACTCATGGAACCTTTGAACACGCACACACATCAAACATAAAATCAATTCGATCTCATTGCAGTTCTTACCTTTAGATCTCTGTGGATAATTGGAGTTTTGCATTGATGTAGCCTTGCAACTGCCTCACAGACATCACAAAAAATGTGCAAGACTTCTGTCTCAATGAAACCCGTCTGTAGCCTCTGGTTCATTTGGTTCACAACTTGTCCCGCTGTCAAATAAATACCATTAATCTGTGTGAGCACTAGTTTCCAAACAGCAGGAAGGCAGAACTGAGCATTATAATTTTCTCAGCTCTCAAAAATAAGTTACAATGAATGGTCTGCATGAATGCAAATTTGACAACTTTCATCACAAACAAGATTACGTTTACTACAATCACCAAAAATCTAGAATTCACTGGGGTTATTTTATTTTTTTTAAACTTGTATGAATTAGAATTCAAATAAAGCAAAATACCCACTATTTCCTTAAATATTTCATCAATCACTAAATCAGAGTGTAAATCTCTTCCTATGACTTAGTAAATTGATGCAATATTTCATTTAATACTGCTATAAAGGTGAATGTAGATGAAGCACAGAACAAAAGCAAAACTGTCAACGCTGTGGCGGTTTTTAAGCACATAATAAATCTAAAGCACATCTCATTATATTCACAACAATTACAATTACTGATATTTAAACAAGTTTACAGGGCTCAGATTAGATCTTTCAATTCCATAATCAAATTGTTGCTAGCTAGAAAAGGGTACACTTGTAATAAATTACCAAAAAGATGGTTTCTAGACCAACTACTAACACAAGTTAGCGAGAGATACATTAAATATGTTTTAAAGTTTTCTAATAATGGGGAAGTTATAAACAATGCAAGCCCAGTTTCCTGCCTGCAACTTAAAAGTAAAGTAGGTGGACTGCGCCCGAGCTTGCTCCACAATCTGCATATCAATATTGAGGAGCCAATAATAAACAAATGCAAATTAGTCCACTTTGTGGTTATTTTAGTAGCAGGGTCTCTGGGGTTAGCAGTGTCTCTCTCTCAGAGAAATAAGATACATCTCACACGTCAGGTAGACCTGCAGAAACCAGTCTAGCTTATTAATGCGATATGAGTGCATGGACATGCCCTCAATGCTGCAAACATTATCTTATTTCTCTGTTAATTTGTAAGGAAGTCCTAGCTTGGACAAATTAGTGTATCATATTGGTATTATGCTTATTACAGGACAATCCACGTGTGTCGAGGAACAGCTACACATATGTCTTGAGGAGAAGTTAAATTGATTTAATGAAATGATAGCCAATCGTCCTGCAGGTGAAAACAAAATCACGACTGGCTGAAAATCGGGAAGCAATGCTTTTATTCTGGGGACATGTGGTTCCAAATCAGGACCCCAAAGCGCTGACTGTGTCAGTCTGGGAGTAGTCAAATAAATTTCAATTTACGTCAAGATCTCAAATTTGGATTAAAAAAATAGGAAGCGGAAAAGAAGAAACCCATAACATTTGTGAACATTATAAAACTGTTAAAGTAAAGAATTTCACAGATACACCATTTCAATAATGCTTTCTTACCTCGACAATATTCCATTAGAATAAGGACTTCCCAGACATTATCACTGATGGCTGTAATGGAACAGTCTAAGTAGCCTACAATATTTTTATGACCTGAAAGCTCTTTCTAAAAGAAAAGGACAAAAAGTACTGGTTATAAGAGCATACTGGAGATTGTGTTTTGCTCATCTTATTCAGCAAAATTATGCTGTAAATAACAGCGGATAACATCATCTTTCAGCTCTGGGATCAGAACTTTAATCCAGCCAGCCCAGACTCAGTGGATGAATCTTTGCCCGTTCTACAGGTTTTAAATGATATGTTTGGGCAGTCACATTCAAGCTGCCAACGGCTGCATGGTAACATCGCTAAACTATCCCACATGTTAACACAGTCAAAGGTTTTATTCCAAGTTCATATGTAAGAAATGAAACAATGTAGTGGGTGCAGGAAAAGGTGATATGGGATTAGAATGAAGGTGCATTATTGGGATAGATTACTGTTTATTCCGCAACTGACTTTGTTACATGGGGTGTGGATGTGTTGGATTCCAAAAGGGTTCCCCAAACCATTTAATTCCCCAAATATCCATTCCTCAAATTTTTCTAAACAAAACTCTGAAATTAAATATGTATTATAAAAACTTTGCAGCAAACCTTTATTGTGCACTATTTGGGAGCTGCCAAATGCAGGATACATTCCCTCAGGAAAGGAATCTCAGAGGGAAAGATATCCTAGGCCATCTATCTTGAACTCCCTCCCTGACAGCTGCAGAACAGCATTGGCAGAGCCCGGAGCAAATAATTTGGGATTTGATGGTTTTCTTGAATAAGGCATTGTTTGTGAAGAGCAAAGAAACTAGGTCTATCAGGATTACTGGATTTTGGACAGAAGTTGTAGACCTTAACCAGCAATTTGTTCTCTATCCCAAAACAATGCAACAACAACAACTTGCATTCATATAGTGCTTTTCACGTCAGGAGACCATCTTTAGGCTCTGGACAGTCAAGCACATGAGCTGGGGATTGGATTCGGGAGGTATGGGGTGGGAGGAAAGAGCACTGAAGGCGCAGTCATAAATGAAGGCCTCAAGATGGACTCTGAAGGAGGCCAGGGAAGGGGTGAGGTAAAAGGGTCTTCAGGGGGAATTCCAGAGACTGGGGACAGATAGGCTGATAGCTCGACTTCTAATTGTGGGGCGGGCATGGCAGTGGTTGTGAAACAGGCTGCGAAGTGGAAGGAGCATTTAAGAATTTTGCAGAGTTAGGGTGGGGTAAGACGGCGAGGGATTTAAAAGTGAGGATGAGGATCTTGAACTCAATCGTCTGGGCAATGGGGAGCAGCTGGAGCTGTGATGATGGAGGTCATAGACTCATCGAGTCTAGCGCTGGAGAGGACACAAGCTGCACAGTTCCCTGGCCCTTGGAGGGAAAAGTTGGGAAGTGTCGAGAGGAGATTTGGCAATAGTCTTGCCTCGATATAATGAATGCAATACAGTAATTCATTAATATTGTCTTGGGTAGTAGTTTTCATTTCAGATAAACAATAATGCACTAACTATTTCTCTTCCCTTCCAACTTTCGTTCTGATTTTCACATTTTAGCTGTTATTCTCAAAGACATATTCTATCGTATTGATCCAGTCGTGGCAGCAAATCTCCATGTACAAGTCTGAAGAGTGAGCACCAGTAACGTATCCTTTCCTGGCATCCACACCTTGCTTTCCAATATTTTTACTTACAAGATACAGTCACTACACTTTACAGTAAATCCTGTAAAGCACTTTGAGGCATTCTCCAGATGTGAAAGACACTAAATCAAATGCAAGAATTAATACTGTGTATCACTGTTCTCAGTATCGTGGGTATAACCCTAGCTGTAGTATAACCTTTTCTTTTCCTTTATACATCTTTTTCTCTTCCCCTGCCCCTACACATGTCAAATTGTAATTTTAGCACCAGAAGGGATATTCAAAGGTTATTGCAGGACCACCAATCTGAACATTACATTGGTACCTACAAATCAATACAGACCTTTCATAGGCCTCCACCCGCCTTGTCTCAAAAACTAAGCATAATAATAATCCTTACATTTGATATAGCGCTTTTCATGTCTTCTAGATGTCTCAAAGCGCTTCACAGAATATGCTGTAAAGTGAATTGACTGCATAGTTGTGGGCGAAACGCGGCAGCCAATTGTGCACAACAGTGTCCCACAAACAGTGTCAAACCTAAAACTTCTAACATTTAGTGTACAAACTTGAAAATATTTTCTAGATGTTAATTAAAAAAAACTAAAATCAAAGTTTCTTACCATAACGGTTACTTCCCTTTTGCAAACATTTAAGTCATGTTGGTCATTAACATACATGCGTTTTAGGGCACAACGTACTCCACTGTGGGTTCGAGCCAAGAACACAATGGAGAATCCACCTGTAACATATTTAAACAGAACAAATCTTTGTTATAGCATATCAAGCTGAAAATTTTTGTACAAAGCATTTGGTGATTACAGAAACACTTTTTTTTAAAAAGTAAACCCCCGCCCACCCCCTTCAGGTTGAAAAGGGGAAAATCAATCAGTGGTCCCATTCCTGATGGCCCTCCAATGACTACTAATGGAGTAGACCAAGTGTACTATGCTTTAGAGTATTCAAACCATACGATAAGAGTTCTATCCATATGCATGGTTTTTACGTCTTAACTCAGAGGGAATAGTGTGCGAAGTATAGTCTTGTAGACTGGTGGAGTCCTCAGTGGTTAGTGCTCTCGCCTCGCAAGCAACAGGGCCTGGGTTTGATTCCCGGGCAGGGTAAAATGCTGGGCAAGTTTCTTTACTCCACACAACTCTATTCACCTAGCAGAAAGTAGGAACCTGGTTGTTAGTTGATTGGCGGATTGCTTTTCGGGGCTAATAATCCCTTCAAAATAATAATAATTTGGTCTTTCAATCTATGATTGTGTGGGACACTACTGTGTGCAATTGGCTGCCACTGTAAGAAAGTTTCGGGAACCTGAATGACACTGTTCAATTATTTCAGCATTCTGGTCTGCTTTCTGGTCTATTTAGAGAATATGTAACAGAAGTTGTGTAGATTGCTATTTTCAACAATCACATCATTTGTTACTTGCCCCCACGCTCGTCCTCTTTATAACATTCTTATTTACATTATTTTCCTTCAATACACATGAGAATAATGTCATTCCATAGTTTGTCTTTCCATCACTTTCAAAGACAAAACAGGCCCTGTGAGACCACCTGTTACTAATTTAATGTGATAAGGGCTTCCTTTTGGATTACCCTGTTATTTTCATTCATATGCAACTTTTTTTGTATAAACAAAATAAATACAGATTTGTATAATCTGCAAACCCTTGGTTATACTCTGTAAATTATTTAACATCGCTTTGGGACGTCCTCCCGACGTGAAAAGCACTATACAAAGTAATTTTGTTGTTGTTGATGTCACTTTTAACACCACTGGGACATGAAACAGAATTTATACTTTCAATTCCGAGTTACCACGCCCAACATTATTGCATTAAAAAAGGTCCTAAATGTTCTTAAATTGGACTTCCCAAAAACTTTTAAAAAGGAATCATTTTAAAATGAAGGCCAAACTGCACCAGCTGCTTTATAGTTATAGTACCGCAAATTGATGTTCTGCCAAAAAAAAAAACCCTTCAAAGTGATCTCAGCAGCTGGTTTCCATGCAAGTCATTGGGTTTTATTTCAGAACATTAGTGCGATTTTTGCAGATCGATGCCAGAAAAAGAATATCAAGCGGATATAAATAACCATCAACCCTGTAATGTTACAGCACCCGTCACATCACGCAACAGCTTGCATTTAAAACAGTACATCTCTTCAGATCAAACCTTCAAGCTTCAAAACCAAACTAAAACTATATAGTCATTTGAACCATCAAATATTCAAAATGCAAAAAAAAACTACAATGTTAAAAAAAGGAGACAAATGGCCACCTAGTTCAACAACCCCACTTTCTCCATAATATGTGCATGATTTAAAAAGACCTTATTAAAAGCCCTATCTCGTTGACCATGCTTTGTCATCTTTCCCCTCCCTGCCCACCTGGACTCTACCTCCGCTCAAATGCCAAACTAGGGTTGTTAAGACCCTTGAGATGTCCTCCAAGAGCGCTGTATAAAACAACAATGTGTTTAGTATTGTACTGAGTATTCATCATGGACTCTATTCTCCAGCCCAAAATCAGTTGATGATCTAGGAACAGAAGCAAACTAGTCTGTTCGACCACTATATTAGATCTGGGAGATATTTGCCTGCCTTTTCACCATCTTGTTCAATTTCCTTACCTCCTATCAATCTTTCTATTTTTAAACTTTCCAATTGATTTGCATCTATGGCCTTCCTATGGCAGTTAATTCCATTCTCAGAACTCAGTGTGAATAAATGTTTCTGAATTCACTTTGAACCAATTTAGCTCTAAATTTATATCCCCTTTTTAAGGATCTTTCTACCAGCAATAAGGAATATCACCTATCTATCTTGGCAATTCCCTCCATTATTTAAAAAGAAACTCAATCAGACACCATTTAGCCTCTTGAGTTCAAGGGAATATAATCCACATTTACCCAGCCTCTCATTTTTGTTAAATACAGTATCTTCATTAGTTAATCAGCATAAGATACATCGAAGGCTACTATATCCATTGGAAAGTTCCTACATTGCTCTTCCTTAGCCCTCAAAAATCAGCAAGCAAAGGTTCAGAATACTAAATCTATCAGGCAGTGGAAGTGCATACAGTATCTATAATTAGTTCTCTGCAAAATCAGGGACTGCATTAAATTGTCAAGTTTCTGTTGATATAAACAATTTCTGGTCAATTGTTTTGGTTTATTTGAAACATTGCATTTGAAAATGCCATCAGAATACTACGTATTTAATACTTTTTGCCACAGATTGTGAAATGAGATGGGTTTTCCATCGTCACTATATATCATTTATACAAAATATACATCTTTGATCCTTAATTGTACAAACATTTGAACAGCTGCAATGCACCAAGATTTTTTTCTCATTGTCTTTTTTAAACAAAACATGGTTTTATGCAAATAAATTTACTTGGGTTCCATGGCAATGTTTTATCAGTAGATACAGGTAATTATGTAGATAAGTCTTAAATGCCGTCATGTGATTGCCAGGATGGTGAAAGGGGAACTGGGTGGATGCTGGTCTTCGTTCACCTAGCAAATTCTTAGGTACTTTTTTTTAAAACAGCAGCCTTTTGAGTAAAACTGTGCTGACACTGAAATAGACTGGACTGGTTCCGCTTTTATTTATACCGCTTGAGAAAGTTAAATGTTCTGCTGACAATATTTCAAAACACAACTTTTATAATACTAACTTAATTACTCATTTAACTTAAGAGGTTACAATCGGAACCCATATCAATTGTTTATCTTTTTAAGAACATCAACTGGCAAGTCAGGATGCTAAGTGTTCAATCAATTTAATCACCAGTTAGGTCTGCTTCTGGTGATAACTGCTGCAAAATCCTGAATACATCCTGTGTGAACACAACTAGTTGCCTACAATTATAAATCCAGTTAAGTGTACAGGTAACAGTTAAAAATTACAGCATGAAAAAATTGTTTAACACAAAACTTTTGTCAATTAACCAAAATGGAACATTTTGTACTAACAGGCACAGTGTGTGACAAATCTTAATTGGCAAAACTGGTACAAACATATGATGATTGCCAAAGTAAAGTTCCAGGGACCAACCGATGGCAGCGATCACAGAAGGACGAGTTAAATATCCACATATATACAGATCATTTTGAAACGGACACATTGTCAACCCAATGTGAAATGATGTGAAATCATCAAATATAATTCTTACATCACAATGCATTCGGAGTAGAAACCTTTTGTCTGAAAGCTTAATGGGATTTTTTTTGTGGGGCCGCATTCATCCCTTTTCACAATATAGTACATTTTCCTTGAGGCATGTCTTGGTAGTATTATGCATCCATTTAAAGTACTCAATATGAAATCCCTTGGAAGTAGTCATTAAATGATACACTAAGACATTTTGTTTTTCCTTGATGGACATTAGGAAAGTCCCTCTTTGGTAGGTCAATCTAGGAGCTGTCTATCCATCTGTGTAAAATCTATAGGGGACTAGTTTATATCGTTCCATGTATTTTCCATACCAGTTATCCTTTGTTCTCTTAGGACTGTTATTTCTACAAGCTATAGGCAGTTTTAAGGTGCAGTTCTCCACCCACTTGCAACGAGTTCAAATCTCAATAACTACAGTAAATTCTCATCTTGGTGGTTAAAAAATATATATGATGTTGGGGGATTACACTCCTCACCCATGACCCCAGCTCCACCATCAACAAAGATCAACTGATTCAAATCTCCGCCAGCTGAATCCTCCACCGTACCAAAGTTTGCAACCCCATCACCTAATTTCTCACCAGGCTCCATTGGTTTATCACAGAATAAATGGATTTCAAGATTCTCAGAATCGGGTATAAATCACTTCATGCCCCAGCACTTCCTGACCTCTCCAATTTGGTCACACGCCATTCCTCTACCCTTTGCTTACGTGGCTCATGCCTTCTGCACATATGTCAACCCCTCAGTGTTCCATCATCAGTGGCTGTGCTGTCAGCCACAATGCCCAAACCTCAAACTCCCTGCCTCAATCCCTCCGCCTTACCCCTTTTGCTCATATTCAGATCATAGAAGGCCATTCAGTCAATCGTGCCTGAATCATTCAGATCGCATGAAGACTTTCCCCCTCGACCATATCTTCAGTCATCTTTCCCTTCTCCCTGGCTTGGTATCAAACTATGCCACTGAACTATGATCAGCTCTCTGAGACACTATTCTGCATGAAGGGAGTTGTTGCTGTTGTTGAGCAGTGTCACACTTTATGTGACTACATCACACAGACTCACAAGACTTCAATGAAGCCTCATAAATGTGAGTACTTTACATGATTCTCTGGCGACAATGTAGTTATAGCACATGTGCATTTACAGCCAATCAGTTTGCCACACCAGAGTACTTTATAAATCCCAGTGTTACGGTGTAAAAGACTTATTCGTCAAACATTTAGTATTCGTTATTAATTTACAAGTGTTGTAATTTATTTGAATTGTAAATTTAAAATGTAGAAGTAATATCAGAGAAACATCCCAGTCAACATCAGTTTTGAAGAATAATGTGACAAATAGAATTTATTTTTCAGTCTTTATGAACTTAGTGCTAAGCAATATATGAATTATGATAATTATTATAAACAGATAGAAACCAATGTAACAATTTAACAACTTAATTAATTTTGGGCACCAACAGTATGGCTGTAATCATAAAAAAACCTTAGAGCTTAACATAAGAGATAAATACAACATAAAAACAATACTATTGTTATAAA